GTAGAAGTTGCAGTTTGGGGAGCTGCACTCCCGTAGCTTGGGATGGGTGGCCCCTGTCGCCGTCGGCTCCCGTAGCGGATGTGGTTGGCGTTGCCTGCAACCGCGCGATCTTGTTACGCAGTTCGCTGAGGGTCCTAGCAACTCCGTCTTCATATTCTGCGACAGTGATGTAGTCTGTCTCCAGGTAAATATCGCTGATGTGTGGTTCGATCTCCTCGTTGACTTTACGGAGTTCCTCGTTGCTCGTTACCAGTCTGTCTCTCAGGTTCTCAAGAGAAGAGGCATCAACGGCGACGGACTGGAGCATGGTCGTTATCTCGTTGATAATCTTCGTATTCTGACTGCGTCGGACTTTACGCTTGGTCTTGAGCCGATCCATTTTCAGGTTGATTCCTCAAGTCCAAGTCCCGGGTTTCGGCACCAAATAACTTTTGCGCTCTGAGGCGCTCTTTTGCTAGGTACTCGTTGAGGACATTGAGGTCGAGAAAGAATAACAGCACAACCGGCTTGTGTTAAACGGTTTATCCGACTGCTCGTTCGCTCGCGCTCGCGATTCCCCATCCTCTCGTCTTCTTTTAGTCCCAGACTAAATGTCTCATGTCCGTGGTGTTCATTGTTAGTTTTTCAACAGTGGATGCTTGGGCAAGTTGGTAATTCATGCTGGGATGGAACAGCGCGGATGAACTGTCACACTCACATGCACACAAGAAGAAAACAGACGGAGCTGTAAGTCAGCGCTGCGAGTCTGTTTGCTTCTTGTGTGCATGTGAGTGTGACTGTTCATCCGCGCTGTTCCATCCAATCGCAAAGCAGTAGTTCATGTACATAACTTTGAAATAGGTGCGCTCTTGGGTACAAATATCGTCCGGTTAACGATACCTAACGAATTCAATGCGGAGGGCAAGTTCGTCTGCTTCTTCCGCAGGGGGTAGCGGTGACGTCAGAACGCCGAGCCCTGATTGGCTGATCGCGACCCCCTATCTGAGCGTCGTCTGCTCCTCTGCAACGTCGTCTGCGTCAGTCTCACCTTTCCTGCGACTTTCGGAAGTGCAGAAGCCAGATTCACGAAACGATCTTACGCCAAAAATGTGCGTAAGACAGAACTTGAGAACAAATTCGTATTCACGAAACAAAATTTTCGTAAGTTTTGCGCAGGTTACGACGAAATCCTACGACAGCTCCGAAGCTGTCTTACGCACTTACGATCAAATCAGCATGGCCGACAGCATCGCGGTCGCGACGACCCACGGACGTTTATTTTTCTACGTGCGCTTTTCACGCGTCCCGACTTCAAGCAGCATGAAAAAAGTAAAAAGTACTTGAAACAGACCACGACGAACAAGAACGCTGGATCCACAAACACCCGGGAAAAGCTCCAACAGCCACGATACCACCGAACGCGACCAAGCGAGCTGCGCAGTTAGGCCTAGCAGGCACTCCGCGACTCGGCGACCGTCTGCCCACGACCGGCTGTCATGCTGAATGAAATATGCCCGCGCGACCCATGTGAACCCTTCCCGTATTATACTTTGATCGCTGACCTCAATTTTAGATTAAGGGGTCAATTTTTTCCTTTTGTTATCTCCTTGTTTCCCGAGGCAACGGTGACTCTCGCCGGTGAAAAAGCGGTGAATCTCCCACAGACGCAGGAAAGATAAAGCAGCCATCGCTTTGACTAGCAGACGTAAAGCAGACGACGTCAACTGCGCCAACCCGCCGACGCCTTCAAAGAATGAGGGGTCTCGCCGCACACGAAAGGAGGGAAAAAGTATTTGGGAGGGAACTTGCGGACACAAACACGCTCTCACTCTCGGTTCTTCGTAAACAAACCTCGGCGCCTCGGGACACCTCGCCAGAGAGTCCTTTGACTTCCCTCCTTGATGCGCGTCTGCTTGTTGTTAGACAAAAACAACGTACCGCTCGAGTTATTCCGTCTGCCCTCTCTGAAAGGCGAAGTCGAGCTCGCTCGTAAAGACCTGCACTTCCGAAAGTCGCAGGAAAGGTAAGACAGTCGCAGACGATGTTGCGAGCAGACGACGTTGCAAAGGAGGAGACGACGCTGAGATAGGGGGTCGCGATCAGCCAATCAGGACTCGGCGTTCTGACGTCACCGCTACTTCCTTTCTTATGCGCAGAAGACAAAAATGAGCCCACTTGCGAGGCGTATAAATATAGATATTCTAAATTTAGTTAACATAATGTATCTCGAGGATATTTTAAAAATATTTGCTTCCATACATGCTTCTGATCATTCTGATCTCTTTATTTTAGGTTTGGAGGTAATTGTTTTAACTTTTCAGCCGCGCAGACACCAACAGCACTGAATAGTGCTGTCTTTGTTGGCCTCCGCGCTGGTTCTGTAGATTTGCCGGAATTAAATACCTTAACGGGCGGAGCCTTTGTTGCCGAACGCCAGTGCATTGGATGGCACTAGTTTTTCTCGATTTAGGGAGAGAGTCTAGATTGCAAAGAGGGGTCATCTCGGACATTCGGGAGCGTTTGAGATTTAATGGCAGACGCCTCCCGCAGAGGCCGCTCACAAGCGCGCATGCGCTGCGTTTTCGCGCGGCGAGGAGGAAAGCAGGTGGAAAGGCGGAGGCATTTGCAGACGATCAACGCTTTCCGCACCTCCTTGCAGCTCGTATTGGAAATGCGGACGCTCCTAGGCCGCCGCCATGTTGCTGATGCTGATGCGGCTGGTGCAACTCTCGCGCCCTCTATCAGCTAGAAATTTTCTGCCACTCTCTTGCACTGTGAAGACCCGCTCAGCGCGGTTCTCTACCTACATTTTTGCGGTTTTGCATTCGACGTTTTCTCGCCCCTCTTGAAAGTTTACACTTAATTTTTTTATGCGTGCTGCGTACCCTTAAAGGGCAGCTCCGCCGTCAATTTGAGCGTTTTTATCAAAACATATTTTCGGAAAGGGTACTAAAAATTTAGCCTATAGCAGCGGTTAAATCATGAAAAAACTGTTTACATAATTTATAATCGTTAAAATACGCTGAAACCGATACCGAAACTAACTTGCCACTCGACTGGTCCGCCATTTTGACGTGACGTCACATATGGTATAAACACTCGCACGTGTGCAGTTTGAACCTGGCCAGCCTGGCAGCAGGTCACTGTTTTGTGTTCGTGCCGCGGATAAAAATGGACTCATCAGGCTCGTCTGAATCGAGCAACGATGAGGATATGCTGCTAGATGTTGGGGACGATGACGATAACCCGTTCTCATACGATCCGCCGGCATCGCCTCCGAGAAAACCGCCAGCGGCGGCTGCATTCGTGATCCGCCGCCATGTGGACCCAGATGCCGCTTCCGAAGCGGAATGGTAAGGCAGCTTTTGTTGCTAGCACGCCAAGAAAAACTGATCGACGTTATGCCTTTTAATTGGAGGCACTTTTTGTTATATCTTGGAGTCTGACAATACACGGTTTTAGTAGACCGTGTTTTCAAGCGACGCTTCCACACACAACACCAATTTCCTCCAGTCGCCATTACGCGCTCTTACATAACTGTATAAACCGATAACATAAGCAAAAAGCAGACAGTCGCTAGCACCAACTAGCTACAAAACAAGCACCCTGACCAACATGTGATGTCACGGCAACGTCAGCGCCATCATGGCAGCCTCCGTGTGCCGCTCTTGCTCAGTGTTGCCAGTAGGGCTGCAGCAAGTGATTTGGGTGTGTACATATAAATTTCAAAATTCATTTTCTTCTAAACAAATTAATATTTTTCCGAGATATTTTGTACACATGCTTAAGAAGGGCATCCAAATACATGGTGAAAATTTTATAGAAATCGGTGACCATCAAAATTACGGCGGAGATGCCCTTTAAATAAAAACAGAAAGAATAAACATAGGGACGGACAGAACAGCACTTCTTTCGGTCCGTCCCTATGTTTATTGCTTCTGTTTTTATTTAACTTCACTAACGCGCTCACGTCGAACTAAATACGTACCCTTCTTGTGTTATCTTCCAGTGTGAGAAATAAAGCTGTTCGACATTCACGGGAAACGAAGGAGGTGAAGGACGTCGAACGACCCTCGACGCGATTTTGCGAACATTGTTCTCCCCCCTCCCAATAATAATCCGCTTAGAATCCTGAGTCATCTCCAAAAATAGTTGTCCAGGTTGGGGTGAGAAACGGGTCAGTCGCGTTCGTTCCTTTTCCTTCGTGCGGTTGTGAAAAAAGGAAGCTCTCCCCAACACGTGCCCCAAAACGAAGTCATCTCGGATTCTGTCCGATCGTCAAGATCGTCGACTGTGATTGTGTTATTTGAGATCTTTCTCAAATAAATTCTTTTCGGATAGCGCTGCATCGTGTGGTACGTACGATATATTGTTCGAATGTTAACACTTCCTCAATTGTATGTCCGTGGCCTGTCCATCGGTGAACACGTTATTTGTGAGCGTAAAAAATGCACGCCTTTCGGCCCTCTTCTGTTCCAATTTATTTTTGTCAGCAAAGCGCTTTGTCGTTTCACATGCGGCGAATCCCGCGGCGCCGTCAAAACTTATCTTAAGAAAAAACAAAAAAACACAAATAACTAGAACTACACATTCCAGTCGCATTCGTTCTGTCACACGCGTACCCAACAAAAATAGCCTACCGTTTTTTCTAACTTTTTTTTAAATGTGGCACAATGCTTTTTCAATGTCCTCGGGAAAATACATGTACCATGAAACACAAAATAAAGCGGGCAAAGACGAGAATTTAGCCGCCAGCACCGTTTGAAACTGCGCCTACGCAGGCTGCGCCTATTGAAATCACAGTCCACTCGGTTAGGGTTAGGAGGGACGCCGGTGACAGTCTAGCCTCAAACTCAGTGACTGGGCTCGAAAACGGTTTGTTGCCCCTCGGGTCGAGTGTTTTTTCGAAAGGTGTATACCTTTCCAAAAAACACAAGAGCAGTTGGAAGCACTCTGTAATCTAGACACACTGTATTTAGTGTGAAGTATACACTTGTATCTTCTTTCTCAATTCCGTCCAGGCCTAGATCCAGACAACGAAGGTTTTGAAGACGAGCGTCTGGACAGGGACGACGCTGACTTTGTGGACGTCATTCACACCAGCAACGGCGTTTATGAATTGGGAATGCGCGAGCCAATGGGCCATGTCGACTTCTATCCCAATAGAGGAGGTGACCAACCGCGGTGCTTTTCCGCCGGTGCGTATCAACTAGGAGCATCCAGAAAGTTTTAACACAGGGTTCAACCTTGTTCGGCGAACATGTATACTTTTATGAAACTTTTAGGATGAATAAATGGGTGGACATTAACGTCTGTACCCTTTATAGCGGGCGGTAACTTGCGCCATTTAGCCTAAGCTTGCCAAAGTTCAACCTACGAACGGTGCTGCCCGGCATTTCGACAGAACTTTCGAATTATGGAGGAATATTATGAAGCAGTTTATTTTATATTTTATCAAAATGATTATCAATATTTACAGGATATAAGGGTAGAAAAATACGCTTATAATGCTTTAGTTCGTTTACTCACGTGAAACAGTAAAACATATTCCCGAGCTCGCCATGTGGCGTCAGCATGGTTGAAGGTTTCGCGCGTGCAAATAACTATCGGACCTTAGGCAAACTTTGTTCTACCTCACCCTAGAAGCTTAAAAAAAAAAAAGATGTCTGACCAGGGTATACCATAGCCTCGGCAGAGTCTCGACATCCCTTTACTCCATTTTACGTAAAGTCCGATCGCAGTCAACGCCGCAATCGGATAGAACCAATCAGACGGTGGCGAAAGTGGATCGTCATGGCGCTCGTTGTCTTTATTGGTTTGCCCTATCAGCGGCTACTACAATCACGCTCTGTGAATGCGGCTTGATCCGGTGCTTTTTTTCTTTTTGTGAGTAATCGGCGTCACTGGTGAAAGCAACCGGACAAAGAAGGCGATGTTTGTTACAACGAATGTTTGGCGCTGTTTAATTGTTTCTTATTCGATCATAGCGTTGGATCCGGTCCTACTTAATTCACAAGAGTAAACTTTACTGCTAAATTTGACGGGAAAGTTTTCGTCTGAATTGAGCGGGAAAATTTTCACGCTAAATTTGGCAGGAAAGTTTTGCCTTCGGGACGTCACACATGACACCACGTGGGACGTCATTATGGGAAACGTACCATAATGCAACGCGCAGTTGCGCCGGCAGTACCGCTGACGGCGTCGCCGCTCAAGCCGGAAACGGCCGCCTAAGAGCTGCGCTCTAAAAATATTATGATTGAAGTACTAGTACTATAAATACCACGAATGAACTACTAGCGGAAAACTTTTACCCTCGTGACGTCACATGTGACCCTCTCCTCCGTACTCTCCCCTCGTCCTCCTCAAGAGCTGCGCTCTAATTCGGCATTACAGGGAATTGTAAGCGTCTTTCATTTTTGGTTTGTTCTTCCCGAGGAAAATACACAACTCCCGACTTCGAGGTATACTTCCCCAAATTTGCCCTCGTTAAGTGTGTATAACAAAGTTGTCCTTTGTCAGTGTGTGTAAAAACTGGAAGGAATATTTTAAAATAAACTTTCCTTTTCTTAAGCTAGTTTGCACCTGTTCAAAAGGCCGGACCTGGCACCTCCTCTGAACGAAAAAAAAAACAAAAAAAAAACACACACACACACACACACATTCTCATGCTCTTATACTTCGTTTCAGCTTCCTTCCGAGCGCAGCCAAAGGCTGAGGGACGGTTCGCAACTTCGAGAAGAGCATTCCCACGCACCACAAAATAGTCCGCCAAAGTATTTTTTTATATAACTGTTTTGTGCGTAAACATTGCACAATATTCCAGATGTGTACTGCTAAGAATGATTTGCAACTAGAGGAATTAAATATATGAAGTTTATGTTTTTATTAATATATGTAAATGCATGTGGTTTGGTGAAAACACGTACATCCGCTGGCAACACGGCTGCAGCGCTCGGTTTTTCTGTGTGATTTCGTTCCCGTAATGGTCGAATCATGTGCTTCGCTGCTTTACTCACCGAGCCGCTTCAAAACGTCCTTTCGGAAAGGCACGTTTGGGCGCCAGGCGCGAGAGGTCGTGATGAATGCCTACTTTCAAATTGGGCAGGAGACTCCGGTCGCGTCGTACCGCGAATGCGTTGTAAACAAGAAAAGCGTCCGGCCCACTACAATTCACTGATTCTCTGCGAAATCAGGGCTCCCCTTTACCTGCCTATCACATTGAACGCCGAGAAGCTGGTGGAAAGGACCGCGTCTAAAGCCCTGGTATATCCAGAAAATGCAATGAAACATCAACGGATGGTCATCGGGCACCTTGCAATGTGTACTTACATGTCGAAACTATGCCGAAATGGTGGAAAGCTCGGACACAGACGCCAGCGGCCAGCCTACACACTGACACCTTTGTGACTAAATTTCAGAACTTGAAAGGGCACTTTTCTCAATTTGTAGCAGACGATACCGTTGATACACCCGTAGCAGACGAAATACTCGGCGAGCGTGGGCGGCGCTGACGACCAGTGGCGCAGCGGAGTGATACAAAAGTGGAGGCGAGATCGCGTGACCTATTGCCGGCGTGTGATTGGCTCCGGTCACACGTAGCTTTGGCTGCGCTCAGACGGAAGCTGAAACGAAGTGTAGTGTTGTTAAACCAAGCAGTGGCATGGTGGTCGCATTTAGGATTCAATTAATAAAAAAGAACTTGTGAGCAAGAAAGACAAGAATATTTTACTTCAGGCCGCCAAGTGTTTTTGACGTGAAAAATTATTTGGCTAGGTGTTCGGCACCGCGTGAAGCCTGGCTACGTGGCCACGGGGCTCGACATTATTGGTTCTGTGCTCGACGCTGATTGCTTAACGGGCAGTTCATGTGATCAGAAGGGGAAGCGAGGAGACGTTCCACCACCTGTGCGCACTGAGGAAGAAGAGTGCGCGAGTACGGAAGGTTCTGGAAGATCGCCAGGTTTATCAGCCTCATTAGTGCTAGTATCGCCTCATTCTTTAAGATCAACTATCCAGTAAACACACGGTATGCTCTGTCGTTATCTGATCAAGAGTACCGTAAGCGTGGGCTTCTGGCGTATGAAAACTCAAACTATGGCTACGCGTTTGTGCTGTAAGAACGTTTCACGTATACAACAGAATTGGGTGGCATTTTGCCGCAATTTCTACTCACGGATATAAATGCCATATGCGTGCACAAAGTTTTGTTTTAACAGTATTAGGCCTAGGCAAACACCGGCCCATAATTTTTTTTTGTCATTTGGTCTAACAAACGTAATGGTTTCAAACTTTCACATTTTATATGTCTAACCTAGCGTCTCGTTCTCACAAAATTCCAGCCTCCTGCGATGCGTTAGTTATTTTTTCAGGCCAAAAAACAAACAAACAAAAACAGGGTTTAGTTTTCAAGATTGCCCGGTATGATTGTTACAATAACAAACATTTTTAGTGTTTTCTCTCATCTTCTTTCTTTTAGCTTGCTCTCACAAGATAGCCAAGATCTACTACCGCAAATCCATTGAGAAATGCACGTACTCATCTGGATGCTGTCCTAGTGGCGCCTACATTTCCTCTCGCAAGCTGTACTGTCGGAGTTGGCGAACTTACTGCGGAAGAATGGGCCATCACGCAAGCAGTGACCTCCGTGGAGTACACCATGTAGAACTTAAGTGGCACCACATCCATTGCGGTGTGTAGAGCAATATAGCCTCCTGTATTGGGAGGGGGAGGCCTGCGCTTTAGGAGCCACAACAATAAACAGTTGGGTTGCTGTGAAAAAGGGAGGGGAAATGGTAAACCGAGAAGGAAAGCATCTGGATCGCAGCACCACACAAGTGCGCTACAAACCGCTCCACTTTTCCTTTTGTATATTGCGGGAAAAAACATATAATAAAAAAAGCAGCGACAGGCTGCTTACCCTTTTCTTCTAGAGAGGGTAAGAGGACACGCTGAGGGACAGGGAAAAGAGGATCAGTTGTGAGTTTAGGTAAATTGCAGGGAAGAAACGCACGTCACAAAACAAACAAAAAACAAGTAGGCAGGAGAGTTTTGGAAAGTGCCCGCGGGCCTATGAGGGTGGCAGTAGTCTTTGTCACGTTCGCCCGGTCTGACACGCGAAATTATTGAGACAAGACCAGGTGAGATAAAGGCATGTACATACGTATTAAAATGATGAAAGGAAATCAGGAGGTAGTTATCAAACAATAGAGAAAGACGTAAAACGTTCAGAGCAGACCAGAGTCTGCTTTGAATCAGAGTCCCTCCCCGTGGTCAAGTCCCCACAAAAGCTCGACTCACGCCTGACGTGGCGGGGCTTTAGGAGCGTTGCGGGGCTCGTCGTGGCTTCAGGGATCGTAGGGTTGCTGGGCTCTCAGGAACTCGAGCGGAGCCGGTTTCGGTGAGGCTTTAGGAGCCGGAGCGTTGCCGGGTTCTCAGGAACCGGAGTGGGGCCGGTTTCTGTGAGGCTTCAGTAGCCGGTTTCAAGAAGCGACGGGTCAGGACTGCAGCACCTGACGTCGTTACTCGCTTCTTCCTCTTTTCTCTTCTTTTTCTTCTTTTATTCCCAGCTCCACACCCGTGAGAATGCACCCCCCCCCACCCCCCAACTTTCAGAAGTTCATCGTTGAACGTCTTCTACACCGTCAATCTTGAAGTCCATTGGTAAAGTCTCGGGCTGACGGTAATTCCTGCCGGCACTTGCACAGCACCCACTCTTGGCCTGGGCGATCTCGAGCCTTGGCAAAGACCGCGTCCGTCTTCGTAGCACTCGCACGCGCAGCACCAGTCTGAACACTTGACCACACACGATGTAACATAGTTGCTTCATTCCACGCTCGTGTACAAAGTACGAAAAAAAAATCATGCGTGTGAATAAAAGTCAATTCACATTAAATTGCGCCCTCCCCCCCCCCCCCTCTCAAAAAAAAAAAAGAAACATCTTTGCACTTCGAAACCAATAACTCGATCCCCGTATTACCCCATGCACTATCGAGCAAGAAAAAAAAAATAGGCACGAGGGCATCCTGAGTCTAAATTCCTTATTTACATCCGAGTAGGCTGCACCTACATTATCCTTCGCCTTAATGTATTCGACGTGAATACTATAGTCTTGCATCTTCATGCTCCATCGCATGACCCGACTGTTGGTGTGTTTAGCCTTATTTAAGAATTCCAGCGGCTGGTGGTCAGTTTGCAGTCGGAAATGCTTGCCATATAAATATAGTGCAAACTTTTCAACTGCCCAGAGTAGTGCCAGACATTCCCTTTCAATCGTGGCATAGTTCTTTTTTGCCTTGCTTAACCGTCTGCTGGCGTCCGCGACAGGGTGCAGTACGCTATCATCTTCCTGTAGAAGGACTGCTCCCAAGCTGACTCTTGAGGCGTCCGTACGTTGCATAAATTCTTGTGCAACTACTTGTTCTCCTGAGGCACCCGTACGTGTGAAACTTGCAAAAAAGAACATTAAACACGACATCAGGGTCACTACTTGCCCTCACGGAGCACCCGTACATGTGAAACTTGCAAAAATGTACATCAAACATGACGTCAGAGTCACTACTTGTTCTCCTGAGGCACCCGTACGTGTGAAACTTGCAAAAAAGAACATCAAACACGACATCAGGGTCACTACTTGCCCTCACGGGACACCCGTACATGTGAAACTTGCAAAAATGTACATCAAACATGACGTCAAAGTGACTACTTGTTCTCCTGAGGCACCCGCACGTGTGAAACTCGCAAAAAAGAACATCCTACTTCTTCTCACGTGACACCCGTACACGTGAAACTTGTCAAAAGAACACCAAACAAAAAGCTCAAAACACTGCATAGGATCCACATAACTGTGAATCTTGCGAAAAGGACAGTGGAAACACTGTACACAAACACAAAGTCCAAGCAAGCTCCGGCAGTAAACACACCTCACCCACAGGCAAACACACAAGCACACTAAGTCCAAGTAGGATCCGGCACAACGCAGACCTCACGATACAGGCACACACACGGAGTCCGAGAAGGCTCCGGCACAACGCAGACCTCACGGTACAGGCACACACACGGAGTCCGAGAAGGCTCCGACACAACACAGACCTTACTGTACAGGCACACACACGGAGTTCGAGAAGGCTCTGGCACAACACAGACTTCACTGTACAGGCACACACACGGAGTCCGAGCAAGCTCCGGCAGTAAACACACCTCACTGTACAGGTACACACACGGAGTTCGAGAAGGCTCCGGCACAACACGGACCTCACTGTACAAGCACGCACGGAGTCCGAGGAGGCTCCGGCACAACATGGACCTCACTGTACAGGCACACACACGGAGTCCGAGAAGGCTCCGGCACAACACAGACCTCACTCTACAGGCACACACACGGAGTCCGAGAAGGCTCCGGCACAACAGAGACCTCACTGTACAGGCACACACACGGAGTCCGAGAAGGCTCCGGCACAACACAGACCTTACTGTACAGACACACACACGGGGTCCGAGAAGGCTCCGGCAGAACATCCACAGCACTGAGCACGCATTACACTCAGAAAGTATAAGACCATCACCGGTGGCGACCACGATGGCGGATCCGGTGAAGCCGGCGACGTACACGACGCGCATGACTTGTGGTAGCTCCAAGCACAAGCTGGTCCCGCATGGCCTTACCCTCAATGTAGAGGCGCCTCGACTGCAGGATGCTGCGCTCTCAAGCTGCGTCACTGCTCTCGTCTGCCTCGCTGTCATCGTCAGAGCCGCTGCACGACTCAGATTCCGACGACGATGATCCCGGATCCGATTCCCCTGCGCTGAGGCAGATGTTGTGGAGCACTGCACAGACTGCCACGATCGTGCCGGCGATCCTTGGATGGTGGTAAAGAACCCAGTGTTTTTGCACGCATCGAAAACGACTCTTCAGCAGCCCAATGCAGCGCTCCACCACCGACCTCATTGAGGCGTGGGCAGCGTTGTAACGCCCGGCAGGTGTGGAGACAGCTGGCCGGCCAGGCACGGGAGTCATGAGCCATAGCTCCAACGGGTACCCACTGTCTCCTGCATGAAAAATAGCAAGTATAATCTCAGATATGGGAACCACATGCTGCGTTTTAACCAAATTTGATTTATCCCGTCCGGCCCTCCATAAGCCGTTTCCACAAGCAGGTGGTGTGCATTCAGCGTTAACCTTGTAGCTTCCGAGTAGTGCTGATAACGAGTACTACTTGTTCAAACCAGCGCTATATCTTATTTGCATGCCAGAGACGCCGCAGACCTGTCAACCAATATCAGGTGTTTGCCGTCTCAACAGGTTTTTACAGATGACACCGACTATGGTGATGATGACACGCCTTGGAAACGAGTTTTTGGAAAATGCTGTGGAAGCTCTGGGAATGAGGACCGTGAGGCTATCTCCAAGAGTATTTTTCATGTCTGTAACCCGCGAGAGTCTCACCTTGATGAGATTGAAATAAAACGCAATGGTACACTTGAAGGAGCTTGTTTGCAGCTGGAGGCTGGACACGGAGCACCTATCAACCCCACTCCTCTCTTTCCTTTTCTCGCAGTGCCTAGTGTAATTCAGTGGTTAACTGACAACACTTCTTGATTTCAACAGTTTCGACCCTAATGCACTAAAGATGAACTGTTAAATTCCTCATCTCTGCTCCGGAGCCTCGAGCAAGGACATGAAGGTGAGCCTTTGCATGATGCCTTGCTTTACGCCAGTCATCCAAACACTAATGTATAGTTCTACAGCAATCTGTTCATGTGAAAGTCAAGAAACGTCTGGGTACTCTGCATTTTGTTTTCATGCGAACTGACAATGTGCTGCCACTTTAGGTACACTCGCCGAGTAGGTACTCCCCGTGCCTGATGAGCCTGCCAGCGATGCACTGCTGCTGCACCCAAGACTGCCTCCACACAAGGGCGTCATGTGAGCAGCCAGGCATCGTAGGGTCGACTGCCAGGATTCGCATGTTATCGTCGCACACCTGCAACAAATAAGAGTGCGACAGTAAGAGAGAGACAAACAGATGATCACAGCTTGTTCACATCTGTTACGTTCCTTTCATTTTGAAAAAGACAACCTAGCAGTGATCCCGCGCACTGTGAGAAAGAAAACAAGCATCTGTCAATAGTATTGTGCAATATGCTTCTACCGGTACCCTCGGTGCACATCAACAGGTATAAATTATAAATAGAAGCACGTCTCCCAACACTCTTACAATGTCCATAGAGCTGTGCAGCAATTACTACTCGGACCCAGGGGCGTAGCCAGGGGGAGGGCTCATGGGGCTTCAGCCAGCTAGCCAGCGAGCCAACCAGCCCGCCCTCCTCCCCCCCCCCAAAAAAAAAAAAAATGCAGCCGACGCTATAATATACACATGCATTGTGACCCCCCCATCCCCCTCTCCGCACCCCAAGTAGTGGACATCTAAGTCACCTCAACCCCAGCCCCCAGCCCCCAGCCCGCCCCCTCCCCCCCCCCCCCCCCCCCCAAGCCCCCGATTTATAACGATTTCAGATTACAACAAACGTGACCACATGTTACAAACTCGGTAGGAGTCAAAAATGGAAACTTACCACCATGACGTTTAGCGCGTAGTGGAGCTTGCGACACCAATACAACGCCTTGGTGACGGTTCGGTCGAACCGTGACGGAGCCTTGATGGCCACAAACGCCCCGTCGACGCACCCAACGACGCCCGGGAGGGTGCCTCGTCGCAGGAAGGCTTCCTGTGTGGCCGCACGTTCTTCCACGGTCTCGGTGAAAGCGACCCACGCAGGGCC